AAACTGTGTTAACTGGAATTTAATTAAAACGGCTACAATATTGCAATAAGTGACAAAGGACTTTGTATCCAGAATAAAGGATTCTTATAATTGAATAAGAAAACAAACCCGACAAGTTAATTTTTCAAATGGGCAAAGGACTTTGACTACTTCATCGTATCAGCGGTATGAATGGCCAGTAAACATATGGTAACATGCTTCACAGTAGTCCTCAGGGAGATGCACACCACAATGCATATACACCACACCTACCAGAATGGGTAAAAATTCAAAAACTGCCAGCACCAAACGTGGGAGATGTGTAGATACTGTAACTCTCATGCCCTGCTGGTAGGAATGTAATAAGGCATAACGCTTTGGAAAACTGTAAAGTAGTTTCTTTAAAAGTTAAATATATACCAAGCCATTCCATGTCCAAGGTATTTACCCAAGGGAAACAAAAATTTATGTCCATACAAAGCCTTGAATGTAAATGTCCATAGCAGCTATATTCACAATAGCCAAAAATTGGAAAGAAAGCCAATGGCCATTGACAGGTGAATGGATAAACATTCATACAATGGAATACTACTCAGAAGTAAAAAGGAAGACACGGACACCCACATGAATGAATCTCAATAGTGAGTGAAAGAAGCCAGACACAAAATAGTGCAATTATGATTCCACTTAGATAAAATGTAAACAAATCTATGATGACAAAAACACATCAGTGGTTGCCCAAGGCTGGAGCAAAGGGTGGGACGCACTGCAGAGACAGGAGGAATCTTCTAGGCATGAAAGAAATGTGTCTTGTGGTTGTTTTGTCTGCCAAAAGTCAATGAATTATTCTCTTTAAATGGATGTAGTTTATTGCATATAAATTATTTCTCAATAGTTTATTTTAAAAGGCTATATTCTATTTTTGTTTATTGTTTTCCATAATGTTACACAACAATTTTCCAAGACCTTTATACCATTTGTTGGTAATATTGAAATGTTTTCTTTAGTCAATTATTCTTGACTTAAAGTCTCCTGACTTAAAAAAAAAAAAGGATCATTATCTTTGCTGTTAATTATAAATGGCATATGAAGGGTGTCTGGAAAGCCAGAAAACAGGAAAAAATTAAACAGCTTATTAGTTACATTTTCAAATAAAATTCTCAACATGTTTTCTTTCAACTTCCAAATATCTTTTCAGGTGAAATAAACTCTAAATTTAAAGCACTGGGTCCAATTGTTAATCTGAGAAAACCACTATAAATTCACCATTTAATACCTTTAAAAATCTGGAAGCACAGAGAAAATAGTGTATTTTTTTGTATACCAAAAAACTGGCAGTCATCATTACTGAATGCTTATCGTGAGTTGGGCTCTGTTCTTAACATATTTACATATACTCACCTCACTTACTCCTCACAATCCTAGAAGACATATCATGTCTGACTCTCAAATGGGAAAAATGAGATTAATTTACCCAGGGACACAGCCCAACTGGCAGAAATGGCACTTGGATCCAAGCTTTCTGCTTGCAATACTTGCAGACTTAGCCACTGTGCTAGATTAGCTATTTCTCCTAAGTAGGAGAAGTCCAGTAATTTTTTTCAAAAGAGCTTCAAGTTGTGGCTTTATCTCATACATTCTGACATTAGGCAACTTACTTCACCTCTAGGGCTCAATTTCCTCATCTGGAATGGGGAGGTGGGTGGCATTCAAACACCTCTAACTCACAGTTTTATTGAAATAATGGAGCTACTTTTGGCTCAGCACCGTGCCCACCACAATTACAACTCTATAAAGATAGCTATTACTATTATGGGGCTTCCACACCATATTCACTGTAAGATGGCAGCATGGCATAGGCTGTGTAGAAAGACTTCCTATGTCCCATCCCAGGGCCACCATTCCCAAGCTGTGTGACCTTGAGAGGGTACTTACCTTCTCGTACCTCAGTTTCTTCATCTGCAAAGTAAGGATAATAGGATCTACCTCATAAAGGTGTCATAAAATCATGAAGAGTGGCTGAAACACTATCTGGCATTTAGTAAACCATAAACTATTATTAAATTCTGCTAACTTAAAGAATTCCACTATATACTATAGGAATGATTATATCATTAACCGTGGATTTGATTATCAATCTAGTTTCTCTCCCGAGCTGTAATACGGAAAATGGAAAATTTTACTAAAGTTTAGCAAGTGCTTAGCAGCTTTCTGGGGCATTCTAGAGAAGTCATGTGTTGACCAAAAACATGAATCTATATATAAGCAATACAAGTTCTCTGAGTTTGAACTGTAAAAGTAAATACAAATCATCAAATATAGCAGAGTACACGTTTTGTGATGCCATAGATCCAATGGTTCCCAAATTTAAGCATGCATCAGGATGACAGGAGGGGCTTATTAAAACAGAAACAGAGTTTCTGATCCATAGGTCTGGGGTAGGGCTCAGGAATTTTCATCTCTAACAAGTACCCCTGGTGATCCTACTGATGGTGCTGGTCAGGGTTCATACAGATGCAGCTGGCTCTGAAAGCTAATAAAATAAAGAGGGCACAAGGTAGTGTTAATTAAAACCAAACACGCACCACTTTATGATTTAGGGATGATAAATCTTTATAATGTTTCCCAGGCTTGGCTATACACTGGACTCATCTGAGGAGGTTTCTCAAAATGCTGATGCTTGTGTCCTGCCCCAGAGTATAACTGGTCTGGAGTGAGAGTTGGGCAATGGGAATTTTAGAAGGTTCCTCAGTGATGAATGGTGGCCAAAGTTGAGAAGCACTGCTTTAGAAAGCCTAATAAACCTCTTTTCTCTGTATCTGTTACTATTGGAGTATTTTCAATCTACTTTTGTATTTTATCAACAAAAACAAATATTAGCAGGACAGATACTTCAATGTGAGCTCCACAAACCTGTGGAGGTTTGTGAGCACTGGTTCTCAACTCTGGCTGCACATTAAATCATCTTAAGCAGTTTTTTAAAATGTCATGCCAAGGACTCACTCCCAGGTAGTCAGTTTGGTCTTTTTTCAATGCTCCCCAAGTTGAAAATCATGGCTTTTGAAGCTTAAAGAGTTATAAAGGAAAAAAGTAAAGAGCCAACCAGTTGAAGAATGTTAAGAAAAATGTATGTCAGGGGCACCTGGATGGCTCAGTCAGTTAAGTGTCCAACTTTGGCTCAGGTCATGATCTCATGGTTTGTGGGTTCGAACCCCGCGTTGGGCTCTGTGCTGACAGCTTGGAGCCTGGAGCCTGCTTCGGATTCTGTGTCTCCCTCTCTCTCTGCCCCTCCCTGCTGACACTCTCTCTCTCTCAAAAATAAATAAACACAAAAAAAAGCAACGAAAAAGAAAAATGTATGTCAAAAGAAAGCCTTCACATGGAATCTTGCCATTTGCAATGACATGGATGGAACTAGAGAGTATGATGCTAAGCAAAATAAGTCAGTCTGAGAAAGACAAATACCTTATGATCTCACTCATATGTGGAATTTAAGAAACAACAAACGAGCAAAGGCAAAAAAGAAAGAGAAAGAGGCAAACCAAGAAACAGACTGCTTACTAGTGAGAACAAACTGATGGTTACCAGCACGGAGGTGGGTGTGGGGATGGGTTAAATAAGGGATGGGGATTAAGGAGTGCACTCGCTGTGATGAGCACAGGGCGCTGTATGGAAGTGTTCAATCACTATATTGTACACCTGAAACTAATAATATGCTGCATGTTAACTAAGTGGAATTTAAGTAAAAACTTTTAAAAATTAAAAAAAAAAAAAAGAATTCATTCACAAACCAAGCAGATAACTTTTCATTTAATAACAGAAGGAATGGTACTAAAATGGTTTTATATTCCAGGCAGGGATAGTACTTATTAAATACCAGGTTTCAAAAAGTACAATACAGATGGAAGAATCTGCAATAATGCAAATGAGGTCAGATGACTTCATGAAAATACATTCAGTGATACTAGAAAAAATTTTTATTTTTGTCACCATAATGATGAAGCCCATATGCCACTTCCTAGAACAGTGGTTTATAACTGCAAGACAAGGGACAGCGTTGGCTGAAAAAGTTCCCCAAGTAGTTCCAATGTGTTTCCCCAACCCCACTCCCACCATTCCAAGCTGAGGATTCTCATCATGCAGCAAAAGGACAGAAATAACTTAAAAAGTAATTTTAAAATAAAAACCAGTGTCTGAGAGCCAAACAGGTGCCTTGAAGAAAACTACTTTGAACGTGTAGTAGATTCAGGGCCGGGAAAGTTGACTGCAACTTTTTGTACTCATTTCTGTTTCAACATAAGCTCTGTGATCACTATCTATTTGATGTGCACTATCATTATTGATGACATTTTCACATTAGAAGACTATATAAGAATTTTATAATACATACAACCACTCTTACCTGTGTAAGTAAATATAAGCAAATGTTCCCACACCTATTTTTTAAAGCTGTACATTCCACTTGATGGGAAAGTGATGAACAACAGTGACTTCCCTCCCAAAAAGAGATCAAAGGGAGTGTTAAATTTTTCCGAAAGCCAGACATTAACTACCACAGCCCATTTTATTGTAAGCTATATGCAAAGCAACTTAGTTCTTCAGAAAAAAATAAAAGAAATACATCATTTAAGATATACTAAGACACAAAGAAAAAAAACTATTGAATAAAGATGATAAAGGTAAAACTGTGTTAGAAAAACCTTAGTTATGAAAATATCAGAATATAAAACTTCAATTTTCCTATAGTCAAAATTTTATTCAAAGGAGGTTGGGGGCGCCTGGGTGGCGCAGTCGGTTAAGTGTCCGACTTCAGCCAGGTCACGATCTCGCAGTCCGTGAGTTCGAGCCCCGCGTCGGGCTCTGGGCTGATGGCTCAGAGCCTGGAGCCTGTTTCCGATTCTGTGTCTCTCTCTCTGCCCCTCCCCCGTTCATGCTCTGTCTCTCTCTGTCCCAAAAATAAATAAACGTTGAAAAAAAAAAAAATTTAAAAAAAAAAAAAAAAAAAGGAGGTTGTACGTTGGTTAGTTGTTGGAAATTTATTTGCAGAGGTCCAAACTGAAATAACTGCTTTATTCTTTGTTCCATAAGTACTAAGTCACAAGATCTTTGAAGGTTTTATCTAAAGGGACATGAAAACTTGCAAGCAGGGGCAGGGATATGGGAGTGAAAGTTCAAGAACATGCTACCAAGAACAAACTGTACAACTAACTTCATTTATGACACGTGGGTAGAAAGAGCAAACCAGCCTTCTTCGTTTTGCTTCTCAATCTGTTGAACAAAGATGCAAAAAGGATTTAGAAAGTAATCAGAAACATGAGCCCATTCCAGGTTTACAATTATTTAGATCAAGTACACAGAATCATGTTATCCTATGCCATCAAATGGTACTGAAAATTAAATTGCTACTGGTAATTTTAATTCTCCAATAGAGAAATTCCCAAATAACTGATTCCCTGGTCAACATATCCCCTTATTGATTGAGGGAACCTAATTTTTAAATAAAGGATAAATCCAGTGTTTTATACAACTTGTATGTGCAACTTCTTAAAATAGCAAAGGTATTTGATCTTAGTAAACTAAATCTGTTACTAAATTCCAGAAACTAAGGGCAAATTAAATAAAATAATTTATAACTTTTTTAGGATATAGGAAACAATAAAGGATAAATCTTCTAGTGCTAGGCAACTGGGATATGAGCCTATCGATTAATTTGGGCTATAAATACTCAGTGTTTACTGAAGCATTCACTATTTGGTCTAATCTAGAACAAAGCAGAACACATGAGGAATATGTACAACATTGATTCACCGTAACCTCTCTAACTAGTGGCACACTCTGATACAGCACACTGGGGTAAAGGGACAAGGAAAGTGGCCCCAGGGCTCTGTCTATCCCAAGTCCCACACAGCCACAGCAAGCACTGAGGGAACCAGTATCTCAGTATACCTACTACTTCAAGGCACGCCTGTATGTCCTGCCATGTAGGAATGCTCTGCCTGAAACCAGTAATTTCCAGTCTATGTTGAAATCCTACTGAATTTTACCTTGTTCCTTAGCTACCCCAGAACACAAAAGAAACTGTATGGCTGTTTCGTTTTTTTTAGCAAAGGTGAATTAGGAATTCTTCTGAGAATTTCATGTCACATTAATAATGGAAATCACCAAATCGGCCACCTTCCACCCTCACTCTCCTGACCCTTACACACATTTCACAATTACATTTTATCACATACCTTTGCTCTTGGATTAACAGGAGTGAATCGCCCACTTCCTGAGGTGGCGTTTAATGGAGAACAAGAATTACTAGTAGCCCCTGAAGACCTATTTATGAGAAATGAGAAATAAAAGAGGGTGGGAGAGTGATCTATCATTACTAACCTTGAATTATAGAAGAATGACAAATCTCAGGATTGGCAAGAGTTTGAAAAAGATTGGCTGAGTTACATCCAAATTATTTACAACATTTTTACCAACCTAAGTCTTTTTTTTTTTTTAAATAATAGATTTTCTTTTTTAGGGTAGTTTTAGGTTTACAGAAAGATTAAGTGTAACAGAGAGTTCCAATATACCCTTCACCTCCCTTGCTCAGTTTCCCCTAAACATTGCATCATTTGCATCATTTATTACAATTGATACTATTGGTACATTATTATTAATTAAATCCATAGCTTAAATTAGGGTTCATGCTTTTGTTATACATTCTATGGGTTTAGACAAATGTATAATGAGGGCATCCATTGTGATAGTATCATGTTGTAACATTTTTAATATTAAAGGGGAAAAATGCATGTGCATGTGTGGGGGTGAGGGGGAAAAGGCCAGGGGGTGGAAGAGTAACGAGCCTTGGATCAGCAGCACAGCGTCATGGTAAGCACAGAGAGTGCTGACAGAAGAGCCAGGTCCATCCTCAGTGCCACCATTTACCAACCACGTGACCCATCTAGAAAAACCACCCAATCAGCTAGCTCTCTGAGCTTCAGCTTCATTTACTGTAAAAGAGAAAAATACTACTGTTCAGTTACTCACCCTGTCATATGTGATCTCCTAATTTCGTAACCTACCAAGAGCTCCATATATGTGCTACTATCCTATTTTTGTTCTCAGTAACAACCCACACTGCTCTACTTAAGGCTCGTCCTCACTCCTTTTCCCCCCCAGAAATTCTCTTCTCCCATTACTTTATTTTCTCTACAAGAGTGAGTCTGCCTGAACCTAAGTCAGATACTATGCACTTTCTTTTTTCCCCCAAAGACAATACACTTAATCACTTTCTTGATTTTTTTAAGTAGCTGTTCACATTGTAACCCTACCTTCTTGAATTTATCCCACTGGTAGGAGAGATAGTACTGCATTTTGAGCTTTCTGGGGCTTCTGCTCCTGGAATGGATACTTCAATCGTCCTCTTTCCTCCTTCTAAAATATAAAAATAAATATTAGTTTCATTAATTTTCATTAAAATAAAAGCAAAAATTTAACTTGATTTCTATCTTACTGTAAAATTTCACATTATAAATTTGGGGGTTCTTTCTATATTTTCATTATGACCCACAGACACACTGGAAGAATTTTTTTTCAAAATGAACTGTGAGATAAGAAACTTTAGTTACTAGTATCAATTCAGTAGCATGCCAGGTCATACAATGCCAGAATCTTCAGACAAGTGGTATCATGTCAGATCTGGAAGTGAAAAACAGAAATTAAGAGCTAGCCCTAAAAAAACTTGTGATTTTTGTCAAAACAGCTTATCTCAAGTTTTCAAAAAGAAAAAGAAAAAGGAAAATTTCTGAAGTCATTCAGTGAAACTTCAAATCTTCTAAATCTATTACATTATTCGATTCCTGAAGACAACTTAGGTAGGGGGAAGGTAGCTGAGGAGATCACATGGCCAATGGCAAGTATAGTTGTGTTCATTTTCAGTATTTCACAAGAAGGTTATCAATTAACAAATATTTACTATCTACTAATGAAAGACTTAATGTTTACCCCCAGTTTCAGAGACTCCTATGAATCACTACTTAACACCAGTGATTTCTGGGCTTTAATATTTACATATTTAATACATATTTAATTGTATAACATATTCCTCCATTACTCTAGAAAACAAAAGAGGTTTTGCATGGCATATGATTTATTTTTATCTTTATCATCATAGTGCACGAAGGTTCTCATGAAAGCACGAATTTTACTTTAAAAAAGAATATCTTGGAGATATAACCACTGGAATGAAAAGAACACAGTTGCAAATTTACCAATTTGCTTTAGATAATCAGTTAACCTCTTTTGCCTCACTTTACTCAGGTAGCAAATAGCTATAATATCAGCTCTATCTACTCACAGGATGTATTGAGGACTAAATAACAGTAATGAAAGTACTTTAAACCTTAAGGAACTATTGACACACAGATGTCTAATGTAATTACAAAATTATTCTTAAGAGTGATTTGCTTTATTCTTCTTCACTGCACTTAGCACTAACATTATCTATTTATTTGCTTCTTTGTTTCCTGCCTGCTCCCCAACTTGAATGCTAAAGTAGTCAAGCTGGACAGGGATTTGTCCTGTTTGGAGCAGTTTCCCCAGGGCCCAGAACAGGCTGGTAGGTAATAAATGTTCAGACTTATTGAGTGATTTAATGTACTCATTCTAATCAGAAGTCATCTCTAGGCTTCGTGACTATGAAGAACAACAGACAAAGCTGTCATGTGAAGAAGCCTAGACTAAACAAAGAAAGATCCCCAAGGAAACGGATTATCCGTCATTTTCCAGTAATTTTCAAGAGTCTGCTCTCTAGGTCTGAAGTTTCAAAACAGAAGTGATTTGTAACTGAAAGGAAAATTCTTTTTGGCAAAGAGGAGGTGGGTGGGAGGATGGGTCAAACAGGTGAAGGGGATTAAGAGTACACTAACCAGCAGGCACCTGGCTAAGCATTTGACTCTTGGTCTCAGCTCAGGTCATGATCTCAAGGTTTGTCAGTTTGAGCCACGCATTGGGTTCCGTGCTGACAGCTTGGAGCCTGCTTGGGATCCTGTCTCTCCTTCTCGCTCCACCCACCCTTCCAGTGCACTCTCTCTCTCTCATCTCAAAAATTAATAAATATCTTTAAAAAAGAGTACACTAGTTGTGGTAAGCACTGAGTAAGGTATACAATTGCTGAATCATTATATTGTACACCTGAAACTGATGTAACACTGTATGATGATTACACTGGAATAAAAATTTTCTAAAAGTCTTATTGGCAGATACCTTAAAGGTAGCCTTCCTTCTTCAACCACCACAGGACATATGAATCCCTCTAAAACACCGATGCTTGAGCACCTTAGGGAAAATACCACTTACTGATATAAAGATTGTCCTTCTTTTATCCTGAGCTAAAATTAGTTTCTCTATAGCTTTCACACAGCTCGACCCTCTTGAGGGTCTTAGTAATTCAGTTTTTGCCTAAAGAACAACTTGAGAGCCACTTCATCAGTACCTTTTTGAACGTAAATATTATGACAACTAATTTTTTAGTTGCTGTTCTATTATTTAGAACCCCCTCTGGTTTTTCACATTCCTAAAAGTAATAACAGAATGGAAAGTTTAATTTACAAATAAAAATGTTTTAATTAGTTTTAACAAAATAACTTGTAATTTGTTGCTGATGAAACTCTAAATCATTTTGATGCTTAGGTTTTTGTTTTTTATTTATTTATTTATTTATTTATTTATTTATTTATTTTAGAGAGAGGAAGGGCACAAGCAGGGCGGGGAGGAGCAGAGAGAAAGAGAGACAAAAAATCTCAAGCAGGCTCCACCCTCAGTGTGGAGCCTGACATGGGGCTCAATCCCATGACCGTGGGATCATGACCTGAGCTGAACTTGAGTCGGACACTTAATTGACTGAGATACCCAGGCACCCCAATCCTTATGTTCTACACTTAGCCACAGCAAATATCCTAAGTGAATCATACACTTTAATGAATCCCATTTACACATAGGGCAACTTAGGAACTCAGACACCAAAGATTACCTACAGGCACCATGGAATAGCTTTCTACCCAGAGACTTAGGTCTTTTTCTTTCTATGTAAAATTGACATGACTCAGGTCTATTTCTTTCTATGTAAAATTGAAGGCACTGAAATATATGCTCTGAGATTTCTTTCAGCTCAAAATCAAGAAAGTGAAAACTCTCATGTGTCTAGCTTTTAAATCATGAATTTGTGACCAACCAGTCCATGCTCTGAGAGGTGATGGAATAGGTGATACTGGTGGGGAAGAAAGATTCAAACCAATAAGTTTCTGTTGCTCTATTAACTGCAAGAGTTTTCCACGAGCCTCCATACTCTGCCGATTCAATTCTGCAATCCGTTCCTCCATGCTACTTGGTGTGAAAGGCTGTGTTGTTGGATAAGTCTTAAAAAAAAAAAAAAAGGCACAAACTCCATATCAGAAATAATCCAAACAATTTTGACTGTTTGTAAACATAAACTCTTCCACTAAAAGCCAGCTAGTTAGTATTCACCACCCTTGCTATATGTAAACTTGAATAGTAGGCAAAGAATAAAATCTACAAGCCATTTAATTGAAAAATTAGGGCTGGGGCACCTGGGTGGCTCAGTCGGTTAAGTGTCCGACTTCAGCTCCGGTCATGATTTCATGGTTCGTGAGTTCGAGCCCAGAGTCGGGCTGTTTGCTGACATCTCAGAGCCTGGAGCCTGCTTCGGATTATGCGCCTTCCTCTCTCTCTCTGCCCCTCCCCTGCTCATGCTCTATCTCTCTCTCTCTCTCAAAAATATACAAACATTAAAAAAAAAAATTAAGAGCAGAAATGCTTTCAGTTAAAATGTAGCTGTGTGGCAGACATTCAATTCATACTAATTCTACATTTTATATTTACAACTTCATTCCCAGTTTAATTTTGGCTTTCTTTCATATTTTACCTTGTCCTATTTTCCTCATTCATTTTCCTTGTGTTCTATTTTATATTATCCTCTTTTACTGTATGTGTTAAATAAACTGATAAATAACTTTTCCTTACTCTGTGATGAGGACATGACTAAGCATAAACCTTCGAGTAGCAGCCTCAAAGATATCCAGGATCACTTCAGGAAAGGAGGCCCTTAAGATGTTCCAGCAATATAGTTAAACTCCTAAATGTTCCTAGTCGATCCTTAACTGGTACTCACTGCAGCCACGTCGCTTGCATGACTGGTCTCTTGTTTGTTTAATTCCCGAAGTCCATCCCCTTGCTCTCCTCCTGGCCCAATAATATTATTCAGATGTGCTTTGATAGCTGAGTTCTGCAGTGTCAACTCTGCGATCCGGGCCATGATGTCCTTTCTTTGTATTAACGCCTCATTTGCTCTAAGCTGTTGCCCCTCTCCCAGTACCAGGGGCTCTTCTGAGAACTCAGGGCTTCTGGCCTGCTGAGTGTGTGAATGGGAACTATAGAAGGGCTGTGAGAGGTTAACAAAAGGAGCCTGGACTTTGTTCTCCAGATCTTCCCCCATGTGAGAGACCCTCCACCTCTGAGTGAAGAGGTGACTTTCTTCATTTGGATTCTGATTGTCTGTGCCAGTAGGTAAAGTCTTCCTTTCCCAATTTTGTTCCTTCTCAATTATTTCCACAGTTGGAGGAATTTGTGGAGCAGGGCGAGTTTGGACAGTCCTCCTCAATACTGTAGATAAAATATCAGAATAAACATGCATCATTTAACCACAGATTCGCACTATAATCTTTTCATTACTCATCATGGTAGTTAGAGATGTATTTCAGTAGACGGGTTTGGCTTCTGAATGCCTGAATTATTTCAGCAGGGAATATTTCAGCAATGCCACCTCTAAACAATCAAATCACAATTTCATATTCCTTAAGGCTTCGTCAGTATCCTTGTAAAAAAAAAAAACCTGCCAAGTTCACATTTTAATACATGTATTAATTCATACCAGGGAATCCTGGGGGTAGGGAGAGTATAACTACCTAATGTAAACTGAGGATGGTCAGGAAAGGCATCTCTGAAGAAGTAAAATTTTTAAATGGTTATGTATGTGGCAGAAAGCAGAGCGAAAACATTACAGGCAGAGAGAACAACATATGTGAAGGTCCCAAAATAGGAAAGAGCAAAGAAATGAGGCCAGTTTAGCATAGCACAGCAATAAGGGAGAACTGGAAAAATATGAGCCTGGAGAGGTATACAGAAACTTAAGCCATGTTAGGAATTTTATAATTTTTTTTAACATTTATTTATTTTTGAGAGACAGAGAGACAGAGCATAGGCAGAGGAGGGGCAGAGAGAGACAGGTGGACACAGAATCTGAAGCAGGCTCCAGGTTCTGAGCTGTCAGCACAGAGCCCGATGCAGCGCTCAAACCCATGACCGTGAGATCATGAACTAAGCCGAAGTCAGACACTTAACCAACTGAGCCACCCAGGCGCCCCTGGAATTTTATAATTCAATCCAAGAGCAATGAAACCTGGAGAAGGTTTGGCAACGACTCAATTTATATTTCATAAATGCTGTGGTTATTTGGAAGGCCCAGGAATGGAAGTAGGGAGACCAGTAAGCCATGGTAGTCTAGAAGAAAGATGACAGTAGCTCTGATGAAGGTATGTTGATCACAAAGATGGAGAAGTGAATAAATTTGAGAAACATTTTAGCAACATAACTAAGAGTGATGAACTGGAAGTGGGGAGTAAAGGAAACACCGATCAAGATGGCACGCACAGCTGAGTGGGTAGTGATACAATTTAGAGATGGAGAAGATAAGAACAGATTTGGGGGAACAGAAGCTACCAAGAATTCCATTTTGGGGGCACCTGGGTGGCTCAGTCAGTTAAGCAACCGACTTCGGCTCAGGTCACGATCTCAGGGTTCGTTAGTTTGAGTCCCACATTGGGCTCCATGCTGTCAGTTCTTTGGATCCTCTGTCCCCCTCTCACTCTGCCCCTCCCCCACTCATGCACGCTTGGTCTCTCTGTCTCAAAAATAAATAAACATTTAAAAAAAAAGAATTCCATTTTGAACAGGATAAGTTTAAGGTGCCTTATGATTTATCCCAATATCCATCCAAGCAGATGGATTCTTCATGGGTCAGGAACTCAAGAGAGTCATCTAGGCTAAGATACAAAATTGGAAGTCACTGGCATATACATAGTATTAGAAGCCAAGATTATCTGGAGAAAAAGAATAGAGTCAGAAAAGAAACCAATACCAACAAAGAAGGAAGTCAGTGTTTAGAGCTTCATAAAGGAGGACGGGCGCCTGGGTGGCTCAGTCAGTTAAGCGCCCAACTTCAGCTCAGGTCATGATCTCACTGTCCGTGAGTTCGAGCCCTGTGTCGGGCTCTGTGCTGACAGCTCAGAGCCTGGAGCCTGCTTCAGATTCTGTGTCTCCCTCTCTCTCTGACCCTCCCCCATTCATGCTCTGTCTCTCTCTGTCTCAAAAATAAATAAACATTAAAAAAATTAAAAAAAAAAAAAGGAGGGGAAGCTAGCAAACAAAGCAGACTGAAATGGAGCAGCCAGAAAGGAGAGAGAAATATTATAGGAATGTGGTATGAAGGAAACAAATGTGGTATGATTATATATTAATTATATATAATGCTACTGTAAGAACTAGAACACAAAGACAGAAGAAAAATACACTGGAGTTATTAACCTGGAGGCCACCAGAGCTCTTAGCAAGAGTAGTTTAGGTGAAATGACCTAATAGGGAGTGAACTGGGGAGACAGATGCTCCTAGTTCAACATCATAGGCTCGCTTCCTTTCACTGACAACAAGGAAATGAAATTTAAAAAATTGTAAAACCCACATCAGTAAAGATAATGGTCTAGGAAGAGAGTCATTAGCAAATGAGATACTTCAACACATTTCTGAAAGACTGAAAGTAGATGAGGAGGATGTGAAAGAATGAAATTGAGCAGAAGACACGGTGCAGAACACATATATGTATTCTAAGGAAGCTACAGGTAAAAGCCAGTCTTTCTGGGGGAACCCTAAAAAGGCTGTTAGCTCAAAGACGACAGTACAGAGGGAGAAAGTGAGAAGTAGGACTGAAAACTGGAGAATAACTTGGAAGTTCGTCTACTGTATAGTTACGTCAGTCAGGCTGTGCTCACTACTTACCCCCACCCATCCTTGAAAGCAAAAACAAAAAACAAACAAACAAACAACAACAACAACAAAACAGCATTGGGGAAAGTAAATGTGGTAGCCCCAGTAGAACAGCTCGATCTTACTTGCATATTGCATACCCTAAAAGGAGGCCAGCAGTTAACAGAGCATGTCCACATATACAAAGTAACTGCTGAAGGGAAAGCCTACTGGGAAAACAGACCAAGACTCACCTACACAGAAGAGCAAATGTATGCCAACCACCTATAACATTCAGCCATGTCATTTATTCTTAACTATCATGGGCCATGAAGTAACACCAGACATATGAGGAAAACTGACAGCACAAAGAGAAAAACCAGGATAGGTAAACAGAACAAGAGACTAAGAGGAAGAGAAGGAAAATCCAGGTACAGAAGATAATGTAACAAAATTCTAAATGGTCTACTCAGAAGAGAGTTTCTAGAAGACAATGCAGTTGTAATAAGCATCAATGAAAACAGATTAGACAATAAGAAAGGGCTCTTGCTTAGAAATTAAACATACAATTTGGTGAATTAAAGAAATCTAAAAGACAGGTTTGAACACAAAATGAAAAAAATCCTCCAGAATATAAGAAGGAAGATATAAAGCTAAATACATAAGAAAATAATCCAAAAGGTCAACATACAGTTTTCTAAAACTTCAGAAATTTATGTGTCTTTAGTCCAAAAGGTCTCACTGGTGCCTCTTTGTGCAATGAGAAAAAAAAAAAAAAAACAAAAAAAACTATTATTTAGACACACATTATGCAATGTCAGAATTACAACAAAGGAAACCTAAAACTTCCACAGAGAAAAAGGAGGTCAAATACAAAGAAATAAAAATTAGATATTGCATCTGACATCTCAACCACAACACCAGATACTAAAAATCAATGGAACAATGCCTTTGATTTCTCAGGGGGAAACGAATATGAACCTAGAATTCTGTATCTAGACAAATTATCAACCACGTATAATAGAAAAGTAAAAATATTCTCAAATTTTTAAGAACTTAGGGTTTACCTTCTATATACCCATTCTGATGATTTCTTTCAAAAACTTGAGGGAGAAAACCAAAGAAGAAGAAGAAATGGCATCCAGGAAATAGTAGATGCAATCCAGGAGTGTAATGTTAGCAATTCCCAAGATAAGAGGCGTGCGGTGGGCCCAGCGAGCAATCAGTCAAGACCAGACCAGGGGATGAAGAGCTTTTGCAAAGTATCCCTGAGATGAAAGTGGATTCCATGCCACAGACAGTAAAAGGACCAGAAGATATTATTCACGTGTAAAGCACATTATTCTTGTGAAAACAAGAGGTAAGAGCAATTTGAAATTCCAGGCAAAACAAAAACTGAGCAAGAAAGTCACCATAAATGCAGAGCAAGCTTAAAGATTCTGAGCAACAGATGAAGTGAAATAAAGAAATTCACACACACACACAAATTTCACTTTGATCTTCAGAAGAACTTTTTCCTTCCTGTGGCACAAGGATTGATAGTAACAATGGATCACAAAACAAAAAATAATTGTCATTTGTTTTCAACTTTCGTATCCATCTGTAGACAAGACACAGAAGACGTAAGTGTGGTAATGGAACAACGTAAATGTTACCAACTGTGATCCTGTAAAAGGAAAGGTAGGCTGACTGAAGGTGGGAAGTAGAAGCAAAGGAGAGCCAGAAAGGGGAGCCAGGATCCTTGTCTTACATAGCAGAAAGCTGAGATATACTGCCTAAAGTGAACCAAGAAGAAATAAAAAGTATTTGAAAACACAAAGTTAAACAACAGAAGAATTAAAAATTAAAATGTAATCTTCCAAATTAGAGAAGAGAAGTAGGTTAATATTAATTAAAACCTCTTCTTTAATACGGGGCGCCTGGGTGGCTCAGTCGGTTAAGCATCTGACTTCAGTTCAGGTCATGATCTCACCATCCGTGAGATCGAGCCCCCAGTCAGGCTCTGTGCAGACAGCTCAGCCCTTGGAGCCTGCTTTGGATTCTGTGTCTCCCTGTCTCTCTCTGCCCCTCCCTTGCTGGCGCTCTGTCTCTCTCAAGAATAAAATAAAAAATAAATTTTTTAAACCCTCTTCTTTAATAAAGGAGAGTCTATAATTATTGCGTAAAGCTGACATCTAAGCAAAGAAATATAAAAATATTTTATATTAATTATGGAGACCACCACAAGATAAGCAGAAATCAAATTGGAAAAAAATGATTCCCTCTTAGCACAGGCCTAAAGATGAAAGAGGAAGAGACCCTTGTATGTGCTTTTTTTTTTTAAGCACATGGAAATATAAATTAGAATTAACATCTGAAAGTAAAAAACGAATGGGAGATAAGAAAATGAAAACAGCTTAATATACTACTCTTTCAAAAAGTGTGGCTGTAAGTAGAAGTCGATTAGTAGCTAAAGGAAAATATCTATGACAGGAAATTCGAGAGTGAGCCTGTCCATTATGATAGCCTCTGGGCATATGCAGCTATTCAAATTCAAATTCAAATTAATTAAAGTTAAGTAAAATTATTAATTCAGTTCTTCAGTAATATTAGCCACATTTCCAGTGCTCAACAGTCCCCTGAGGCTAGTGGCTACCATACTGAATGGAAAAGACATAGAACATTTTCATCACTACAGGATGTTCTATCAGGCAGAGTTGTTCTAGAGCACAACTAAATGCTGATCAAGGGCCCTATGTATCTCCTACCTTTATCCACATGTTCAGTTTAACTGAACAATTCTTTACATGTGAGCATTCTAAACAAAATGCTGAAAAATATGATGATAAAACTTCAACTAACAATACACACTCAAAGGTTATCCTATCTGCATACTGTAAAAGAAATGTATAGTGTTATTTTCAGTGCAAACCTAACAAAGTGTTGTCTATAATAGTCCCCAAATAATTTGCTTTAGTAAACATTTAGTATTATTTGTAATCAGAGTAAAAGTATTTACCGTCATCATTTCTTTAAAAGAATTTCAAGCTATTTTACTATCACCAATGGAAAATAATTTAGAATATCTCAAAAGAGATCATTAGACAAGCTTACTAATACCATGTAAACATTTGAAAGATTACTTTAAGGAATGAAAATCTAACCTGAACAGAAATCAGAATTGAAATCATATTTCCTAAATCTAACCAGACTTAACAATACTCTCTAGCCTCTGAAGAGGAAATACTGAATCACAGAATTACAGAGCTCGAGGAACATTAAAGATAAAAGAAAAATCTTTCATTTTAGAGCTAGGAAAATGAAATGCAGAAAATGCATGCCTCACGGCTAGTCATTGGGTTGGCCAAGACTTCAGCACTTCTGACTCTCAGTCTAGCACTGTCTCCCTATGCCACACAGATCTGACAGATTCTGCAATCACATATTAAAGGCCAAGACAAATTTTATAATGGTAAGGATTTGTCATTTCTTTAACCTTTATGGCCTCTTCCTGTCCTTTATTGAAAAGTACAGAAAATCTGACAAAATTTGTAAGTCCCAGTGACAACAAAAGCTATTACTGTGGGGGCGCCTGGGTGGTTAAGACAGTTAAACGCCATACTTGATTTCAGCTCAGGTCATGATCTCATGGTTCATGAGTTTGAGCCCCACGCTGGGCTCTGCACTGTCACTGCACAGATCCTCTCTCTCTGCCTTCCCCTGCTCATGCTCACACTCTTTCTCTCTCTCTCTCTCTCTCAAAATAAAAAAAAAAAAAGTTCTTATTCTGTTCCCCTATTCAAGAATGTAAACACTCTTTTTAAAGAAATAAAAATGTAGGCAAATCAAGGCTGAATTAATATTTCTCTAAAAACACTGGAGAAGAGTCTAAGGTACTTTTTTGATTAAAGAACTGTTCTAAAAATGGGGGAAAAAAAGCTACAGTTCTAGAAGAATGCACAGGTGGACAAATAAATATAATTTTCCAAACAATGAAGCATTCCATGGAACTTCTAAAGACCATCCATGAGCCCCCAAGTGAAGAATCTCTGACCTAATTTTAAATTTAAATGTTTTTATTCTTAACTCTATATATGTCCTGCAAAAAGTGGCTCTAAAGCTATTTTTAATTTTCATTATAAAATTACCTCAACTGACTAATAAGCTAAACAGTTTCCATGAGAAAGATGTTAACCACATCTGAATTACAAATGCCTAAAAGTCACAGCTCTTACCCTTCTTTGGTTAAGCTTTCATTACTCTCTGGAGGATAATCTCCTGTTTCTTACCCTTTCCTGTGTTCCTGGAACATAGGGAAAAGAGGATTTCCCTTACTCGGCATTTTAATGCTGAGGACTTTGATCCTTTGATCTGATTTAATATTTACAATGTCCAACAGAACAGATACATAATGAAATTCAACATGATATTTCACCATTGATGTAACACACATGATATAAACAACCCTGAAAAATCCTCCTCCAGCTTAAAGATTATGTGCGGCAATCAACAGCTTTCAAAATTCAGTTTATCAGGTAAAAATGGACACAGTGTTACATATTTAAGGCATAAAAAGGCAACAGGCACACCACTCTAGAAGAAGCCTGCTCACCTTCCTGCAAGGGAGAGAATCCGGAGCTGCTCTTCTGCCTGGGTGGTGTTAACAACACAGCTGGCTCAAATACATGTGCCGGAAAACTGGTGGCCACGTTCGCACTACCCGGCGGGGCTGGCACCTGAGACAGTTTAACAGGCAAGTCTTCCTGTGCCAATGCAGCCACTTCTTCCCCTCGGAACACCAACGGCACAGAGACATCAGCATTTACAGCTGGGCCCTCTGAAGAAGATGAGAGGCCATTAGCACTTAAAGAAACCATGGACACACTGCAGGTGTTTATGCTTACATGCATTTCCATAAAAGGCAAAATCACATGGACTCTAGAGCCTTCACTTTCTAGGCCACATCCTCCTTAGCCGTAACTGGTGAGGGGGCAGCACCAGGAAGAAGAGGCCGTTTTTGAGAAAAGCACTGGTGGCCCCTAGCCCTTGAGGCCTGCCCTAGCCATTGAGTGTATCTCACACAAGTCAAATTTTACTCAGCCACTTCTTAGAATCCCTCATGAGAAAACACTCCTACGATACATAAAACACTCTCCACACAAGACACTCATCAAGATATTACTTAGAAGCAAAAAACATGAAAAGGCCTAAATGCCCTATTCAGCCTGTGGCATATGAAGGTACACAAAGTGAAGAAAGGTTTTCAAAACATCAGAATTTCTAAAACCCGGTATTTCTTTTTCTTTCCAAGACCATCTCCTCTCCTCCTGAGCCTGGTGCACAGTGATGAAAAGTGCTGGCACGAAAGCCCCACTGGTATAGGAAGCAAGTTCTGCTACTTTCTAGTTGTATGATCTTGCTAAGTTACCAGTTCTCTCTAAGCCTTGGCTTTCTCATCGAGAAAATGGGGATAAAGATACTTACCTCATAAGACTATTATGAGGTGTATATGAGATAATACATGTAGAACACTCAAAAAGTGCCTGGCATACAGCAATAACCCAATAAATATTAGCTGAAAATACTAGTGGCCATTGCCATACTGACAAAGTAGTGACAGTGCTGCATATGTACCAACAACCAATAACTCCACGTAAGTTTAGAGTCTTGTTTACTCTATCAGTGTTTTAATACCAACCTGGGGTAATAAGACCACACCCACCTGGACTGTCTATAATTTTCCTACTCGTAGATTCCCTTTCTGATGCCTGATTTTCTTCATTGCTTTTTATCACAGGACAGTTCTTCATGGCATGTGTGAGCGATATAAGTTGCTCATCTGTTGTGACCATGTACTGCTGAAGCCTTGCCTGGAAAAAAAAGAATTAAATAACATCATTGACATATCAGACATCAAATCATCACCTAGATATGTATAACCATATCATTATCTTAAATAGTCTAGGAACTTTGAACTTCCATTCAAACACTAAAATAGTGCCTTTGTAAGAACACGTAATCATAAATATTTTAAAAGTCTCATGATAGAAGCATGGTTAAATGTATCACAGAATATTATTAATAAATACACTGCCAGAATAATAAGGATTAACCTTTTATAGGGCTTTTGATTTATAAAACCTCTTTTATATAGATGGTATCAACTGACTCAAGCTACCCCAAGAGGCAAGTATATCAGGTGGAGGAAATTTAACAGAATATTATACGGGCATTTAAACTGAAAAAACGTGATCCTGTAAGTGTTTATAGTAATGTATATAAAATAATGTTAAGAGAAAATATATACAGAGAGAAGAGATATTATACACACATAGATATATACATATATATCCAACAGGTACAGACATTTGATAAAAATCAGAGATGGCCAGAAGTCAGAAGTATTATTGGTAGGACTAGTGAATGAAATCTACTAAACAATTTCATACCAGCCCAAATTTTTTCCCAAATTCCACACTCCTCTTCAATGACCTGCTCAGCATCTCCACCTAGAACTCACATAGGCTCCAACTTTACATGTGCACAACCAAATTCTCCCTGAACACCCCCACCTCATCAACAGCACCTCTATCCTTCCAAATATTCAGTCCATAGCTTTGGAATCATCCTTGACTCTTCTCTCACATCCTCTCCTTGGCCCCATATCAGCAAATCCTACTGCTTGCCTTCCAAATACATTCACAATTTAGTCCCTTTTCACAGCCTCTCCCACTTCCAACCTAGACCAGGCTGCCATGTCTCACTTGGATTATTTCATTAACTCCTGTCTGTAACATTCTGCTTCCATGTTTGACCACCTAGAGTCTAGTTCTATACTGTTCCCCAAAAGGTTTGAAGCACTTTGGGCCTCCACAGGGGCACCACAGGACATCTTATATTTTTAAGGAAAACACTGCTGCTCAACATCTGTCAGGCACCAGTGAACTCCTAGCTTGAGGTGGTTCACAGCTTCCATATTAGATCAAAATACATTCCTTTTCATGATGTCGTATCTTCATGAAGCTGGGCTGTCAGTAGCTGCTATGATAAAAAGCAACACTGCATAAAAATTACTGTGGAATAGGAAATAAGAATGGCAATATCCAAAATGATTCCAAGCTTTGAGAAACTGTACAGTACCCAGCAGGTAGACATATCCCATCAGTAAATAATTGTGGTTATTTAATCATGAATACAAATAAAACTTTTTCTATCAATACTTTGATATTTTGTGGGTTTTTTTCCAAACAGCATCTAAGTTGTTGAGACATAAATACTAAGTAGTTTGAGCCGAACTACTTAATAAAGGAAACTGTTGGGTATTTCTTTCAGCCTACGGGGATCTTGAGATAATAAGGGCACCATGAACCGAGAAAGGGCAGTGATCTCTGATCTAGTCTCCACACAGCCGCCCACAGTGATCCTCATAAAACCTCAATCACATCACATCTCTTCTCTCCTCAAAACCCTTCCGTGGTGTCCCTTCTCACCCAACATAAAAACCCAAATTCTTACCCAGCTTGCAAGCCCTCATGACACAGATTATCTATTGGCTCTTTCCTCCTACTACTCTTCCACACTCGACTCCAGACATTCTGGTCCTCACGCTTTTGCGCTCAACAGCCACGCTCTCACCTCAAGACCTCTGCACCTGCTGTTCTTCTGCCGAGACTGCTCTTCTCTTAGCTATCTGCACACTCGCTCCCTCACCTCCTTCAGGCCTTCCTCACAGGCATGGCCCACCCCAATTACAATTCCCATCCTAGGTACTTGCTATGCCTCTTACCTGCTTTATTCTTCTTTATACCACATACCACCATCTAACTTACAATATACTCTGCTTTTTTTTTTCCCCCAGGATTTATTTAGAATATAAACTCCACGAGGGTAAAGATTTCTTCTTTGTTCACTACTGTACTTCCTACACCTAGACCAGTGCCAGGCCCAAATCAATAAAGATTTGTTGAGCCAGTTAGTACATTTAAAAACCATTCATTTTCCCAAGAGAACTGAAAACCTGTGTTCACGCAAATACTTGTACATGAATGTTGACAGCAGCATTATTCATTCATAATATACAAAAAGGTGGAAAAAAGCAAAATGTGGTGTATCCACATAATGGAATACTAGTGGACAAAAAAAGTAATGAGCTACTGACAACATGCTACAACATAGATAAGCCCTGAAAACATTATGCTAAGTGAAAAAAAAACACAGACACAAAAGATCACAAATTTTAAGATTCCATTTATATGAAATATCCACATTCGGCAAACCTATAGAGACACAGAGTGGAGAGCAATATCCAAAGAATATCCAAAAGGCACAAATGAAGAACATAGCATTGAGGCAGTAAGATTTCCTAGAAGAAATACTGTGTAAGTTTTTTTTATTTTCAGTCTTTTGGTTTTGTTTTTGAGAAAGAGAGAGAGCATGCATGAGCAGGGGAGGGACAGAGAGAGGAAGAGAGAGAATCCAAGCAGGCTCTGCTCTGTCAGTGCACAGCCTGATGCAGGGCTCATTCTCACGACTATGAGATCACGACCTGGGCCAAGAGTCAGATGCTTCACTAACTGAGCCACCCAGGCACCCCCTGTGTAAGCGTTTAAAAAAAAAAAAAAAAAAAAAGCAATTATCCAGACAAGTGGCAAAGAGGACTTCTATAATAAATTTGAAGATACTGTAAACAATTTTAAATGGCAAATGATTACAGCAAGCTTCCTCAAATGGTATCCCCTGATGTTTTGAAATTAAAAGTAGCTATCAACATTTTTTTATTTCACATTTTGGATCAACTACTAGAATATTGGTAGTTACCATTTAAATGTAGATTCTGTCTTCCCCACTAAATAATAAGTTTCTTAAAGACAGTAGATTTATTCTATATGTATTTAAAGTCCAAGTTTCTACCATAGTACCTCCAATGTAATAAATGTTCAATAAAAGCTACCATTGATGATAATAAAGAAGTGAGAGGTAATCACATCAGCATAACAAAACCAAAGGCAACTAGAAGAGAATCTTATATATTCTTTTTTTTCTTTATTATGAAATGTATTGGCAAATTGGTTTCCATACAACACCCAGTGGAGAATCTTATATATCCTTAGACGTTTTATGATACTAAACACAGAAAAGCTTGATTGCATCTAAGTACCTGGGTTGCGGTATTTTCTTCTCTGAGAAGAAGAATTTCAGCTGTAAGAGCATCAATGAGCTCTCGATGATCACCTAACATTTGTTCCAGTTGCTGCCTTGTCTCCACTTCTTTACGCAGCTGGAGCTCACTCTACAAAAAAAAATCCACTTCCATCAATACAACTCCCATCCAAAACTAAATTACTATCAACAGCATCAAGTACTGAAAACTAAAAGTTTCTACTCAAAGCTGTCAAAAAAATACTTAGAGTATATGTGACAGTAATGAGAATGAAATATTTTTATTAAAAGGTTTATATTTCATTAAAATGAAATACTGTATCCTTTTCCCTTCCTTAAATAGAACACAATAAACACAATGGTATGACTACAACTTTTGCAGAATGAAGTGGAGGGGGAAGTACATATACATATTGGTTGAATACACACAGAGCATCTCTAGAAGGACACACTCACACCTGGTCGTCAGAGCTGGCGCCGAGGAAGCAGACCCCTAAAATGGAAGTTAAGGATGGGAAGTAGGGGGCGCCTATGTGGCTCAGTCGGTTAAGCATCCGACTTTGACTCAGGTCATGATCTCACTGCTTGTGGGTCTGAGCCCTGCGAGGGGCTCTGTGCTGACAGCTCAGAGCCTGGAGCCTGCTTCAGATTCTGTGTCTCCCTGTCTGCCCCTCCCCCTCTTGTGTGTACACTCGCTCTCTCTCAAAAATAAATAAGCATTAAAAAAAAAAAAGGTGAGAATTAGAATTTTTATCTGTATCTCTGTTTCTCTGAATTTCATACTGTATGAATGCATCACCAATTCAAAAATTAACTTTGTTAAAAGAAAATTAAAAATAAATGACAGGCTTAAATGGTTTAACTTCATAAAGCAAGTGATTAGCTAAAAAGTATATGCTTCTAAACCTGTAATACTTTCAGAGAGCCAAAAGTACACTCCTAGAGATTCCTAACTTAAGGGTGGAAGAATGTGAAGACTTCCCTAAGTCTGACCATACAATAAATATTTCACTAAAAAGCAAATTTTAGGAGGACATCTCCAGAGAAATTGGAACATCTGAATTAGAGAGACTGGGGCGCCTGGGTGGCTCAGTCGGTTGAGTATCCAACTTCGGCCAGGTCATGATCTCATGGTTCATGAGTTTGAGCCCCACGTCAGGCTCTTTGCTAACAGCTCAGAACCTGGGGCCTGCTTCAGATTCTTTGTCTCCCTCTCTCTCTGCCCCTCCTCCACTTGTGCTCTGTCTCTCTCAAAAAAATGGATAAACACTAAAAAATTTTTGAATTAGAGCAATGAATCAACAATTTTAATAATAAAATGTCCTTGAACATTTTTTGTTGTATTTAACAAATTTAAATGTATAAAAAAATAATAGTTTAAACAGATTTTTTGAAAGATGAAATGTTTACTCAACTCTAATTCCACAGCATTCTGAAGACTGATTATTCACAAATGAACTAAAAAAACAATTCCTGCTAGTTTTATAAATTATTTTCACAACAACAAAATATATCCCACTTCAGACACTAATGCAAAGCCTGAGTTAGTCACACAGATAACACGAAGAACTTTCCCCATCTGTGTCTATAGATTACAGGTATGCCGCTCTCCAAACTCAACTAAAGTGGGAGTAGGAAGCAGAAAAAGCATCAGAAGGAGGACACGTTGAGTAGTTCTACTGAATCTAATACTGCCAAACAATAATATTCAATATCAGCATAAGACATGATCTTATTTATAGCAGATTTAACCCCTCTAATTATATTGTACTAAAGCTCATATTAAAATCAACATCACTTAGCTGACCATGTATCAGTATATTGGATGATACATAAATCAGCATGCAGAGGAAAATTAAGAGGATAAAAGTTCACTGCAGATAATCTAAAGTTGAGGTATTTTATTATTTATTTATTTTTTATTTTTTTAAGATTTATTTTTGAGAGACAGAGAGAACACAAGTAGGGAAGGGGCAGAGAGAGAGGGAGACACAGAATCTGAAGCAGGCTCCAGGCTCTGAGCTGTCAGCACAGAGCCCGACACAGAGCTCGAACCCAAGAACTGCGAGATCATGACCTGAGCCGAAGTTGACACTTAACCGACTGAGTCACCCAGGCGCCCCATGCTGAGATATTTTAAATAAAGCTATTCAGATTTGACTATATTTCATTTGGAGACTGCAATAAATTAAGGGTAGAGCAAAAACAAAAAAAAAAACAAAAAACAAAAAAAACAACTCTAAGCATATCTACCCGCACTCTGAAGAGGAGACTCTAATAACTTCTTGCTCTTACCTCTTTAAGGTACCGAACCAGGCGACAGAGGGAGCCCACCAGAGACAGAGTGAAGCCTGTGAGACCCTGACTACTTTGCAGTCCCTTGACCTCACGTCCTGTACACCGTTCATATTCTTCCATTTCATGTTCCACTTCATTTATCATGTGTTTGAGGACATCCAGGCTGGAATTATTGCTATTTGGTAAGTCTGTAGAGGCTGTGCTAGCTGTTAGTATGCTCTTTTTCTGCTTGGAAGGAGCATGAGAATCCAGTTTTCCTTTCACTGATAATGAGAGAAGTCATTCTATTATAAGACCAAGAAAAATTATACCAGAAAGCTACTAGAGAAACCTTTGACTGTTATTCACAATTTATAAACAAAAAAATTTTAATGTTTATTTATTTTGAAAGAAAGAGACAGTGCAAGTCATGGAGAGGCAGAGAGAAAGAGGAGAGAGAGAGAATTCCAAGCAGGCTCTATGCTGTCAGCACAGAGCCCAACGTGGGGCCTGACCTCATGAAACCGTGAGATCATGACCTGAGCCGAGATCAAGAGTTGGACACTTAACCAACTGAGCTACCCAGGCGCCCCTATAAAAGGTTTTTATAGAAGTTATAACCATTTTTTCATAAAAATCCATACAGGTTTTACACTGTGTATAACAAACACACTAAAACTATCTTTCTACAGAGTTACATGGCATAGAACATTTCTTAGCCACCATTCAACAAAGTCTTAATCAGTTGGCTCTGATTGGATGAGTTTAAGGGGAAAAACTTTACTAAGAGATTAAAGAAGTTGTATCAAGTTATGTGTTTACTAATTCATCTTGGCAAATCAAGGGGTTGAACCTTTATTTAACAACTGTTTTTGCTTCCTTGAGTTCAGCACTTGTCCCACAACATAGCTTGAGTCTAGAGTCTCAGTAGATTCTTCAGATTGAAGCCTGGTGTGGATTCTCTTGACAGCATTGGTAGCATTCAGAGCAGCTAAAAGAAAAAGTATTTCCAAAAGAATCTCCCGTGAACAACAAAAAAGTTTTAAGCATTCCAATGAACAGATCTATCAGTATCTTATTCAATTAGGTAAAGACAGTCAAGACTAAATACCATTGCTTTAAAAATTGCTATGTTTAAAAAAGAACATACTAAAACAAGTCACTGTTCTGGGAGAAGTAAGACAATGGGGGAGCAAACCGTTTTGTTCCCCTGATGGAGGAGCAGATGATGGAGTTTCTGGAAGGGTTGTTACTTGTGACTGTGCTGTTATTTTCTGCTGAATATCAGTCCACAATTTTTTAATTAAGTCAGAATTATCTTCCTTTAGTTGGTGGAGAAACCTATAAATTATGAGACAACAAGCTACATTAGAATTAATAAATGCTGTCATTTAAACTGTTCAACTGCTTACATATTTGATTGATGGAGCTTTTAATACTTCATAATCAAAGAAAAAATACATTTTCTTCAACTTATAAGACAGATGACTAAAATGCCAGTCTTCTTAGTGTTAGAAGAAATCATTCCATCTTCCTCCCAGTTTCCTACCTACATGGCTCCTAATCACAGGAGCAATTTGCCCTTTCTGGACTTCGGTGATATGGGCCCCATCCTCCTCCCTCTTTCCCAGAGAAAATACATGGCTTGGTCTTTTCTATTTTCTCTCTCCTGTGAAGGCTGTCCTCAGAACATAGCCTCCGCTCATCGCTGAACTGAAGGGACTGGAGCAGACTCTGCCCTGAGTCTCTGGGAGCAGGGGAAGGAATGGAAGAGCTTGCAGTACAGGGAGTTAGAGCACTAAGCCTTTTGCTATAATCATCTTTAGTACTGATAAGGGCTGATATTTTAGCTCCAATCACCTGATTCCTTTGTCTTTTTCTCAGTTGGACGGAGGCTTAGAAGAGGTAGGAGACAAAAAAGTGGAAACAACCCAAATGTCCACCAACTGATGAGTGGAAAAGTAAAACGTACTACAACCACACAATGGAGTATTACATAGCCATAAAAAGGAATGAAGCGAAGATACATGCTACAACATGGATGAATCTTGAAAACATGCTTAGTAAAAGACACCAGACACAAAAGACCACATATTGAATGATTCCATATATATGAAATGTCCAGAACAGGCAAATATATAGAGATAGAAAATAGATTAATCTGATAGATCAGACAGGGCTAAAGGGCTTGGGAGGAAATGGGGTTTGACTATTAAAGAATATAGGGTTTCTCTAGGGTAATGAAAATGTTCTAAAATTGACTATAGGTTGCACAATTCTGCATATACTAAAAATCATTGGTTATACTTTATGTGGGTGGATTGTATGGTATGTGAACTATAAATCAATAAAACTGTTATAAAAAAAAAAAAAAGAGGAAAAGGGAAATCTTATTTAGTGGCTCCACAAATGTCAACCTAAGGGAGTTGCCTTCAAGCAAATTATGCACATTGCACATTAGTTGCTACGAAACATATTTAGCAAAAGGCCTATAATGCAATCCATTCAAAGGGGGCTAGTTATCAAAGCATCAGAAAGAGTTCTCTGTAAGACAGTATTAGCTCTAAGTCCAACCTTCAGGATAAATCCTAAGAAAAGAAAAGAACTGAATCTATACACAACAAGGGCAGCTGTGTTGGAAAAACTGACCTGGAAAGGTAAGCCGAAGACACAGCTTAGCAATATTAAATTTTAAAGACAGAAGAAACAAAATTTAAATATAAAGGAAATTAAGTACCTACATAAAAATGCCAAATTATTTATAAGGGCAAGAACATTATTCTAGCATCAGACTTGTCAAAGCAACATTCAAAGCAAACTAAGAATGGAGGAACATTTTCAAGAAAATGGGGAAATTTAAAGAAACACTGCATCAATCAAAGATTTTCTATCTGGCCAAGCTGTCCCTCAAACTTTTAAGCCTTTCAAGAACTCAAGGAATACTATATTCACAAATGCTATAGCATGAGCCCTGACAGATCCAACCAAGAGTTAACTAGGGAAACATCAAAAAAAGACCAATGATGACCATTTACTATATTTAATTGTAGCTCCAAAACTAAAACCAAAATGGCAATACACAGGGAAGAATAATATGTTTTATATTCTGTCAAAGCAAAAAATATGCAGCTAAAAGAGGAGAAGGCCTGAGAGAAAAGGGAAAGAATGAGAATACAGAATAACTTATTTGTTGTACAGGAAGCAGGTAGAAGTCAAAATACCACTTAATGCCAACACACCAGACAACAAAAGATTAAAGAAAATAGGGGACTGAAACCCTCTATAAAAGGTAGATATAAAGGCAACCAACCAGAACAAAATTACCAACTTCCTAGACACCAACAGAAATTTCTAAGAGAACAGAGAAAACATCACATAGAGAAAAAAAACCGTAATTACAGTATAACACCATAGTACTATAAAATAATATGACAAAGTTGACATCAAACACATCAACCATGTTAATAAATATTACGAGCTTACTTTACTAATTAAAGAAAAAAAGATTCTCAAACTGGCTAACAAGGCAAGACCCAACTCTATGCTGAAAATAAAAGACACACCTAGCACCCAACAATTTAGAAAGGCTAAAATAAAAGGATGAGCAAAGATGAACCAGGTAATTAGAAGCAGGAAGGCAGAGATTTCACTCCTGATATCAAAGTAGAACTGAAGCCCCAGGTATTAAATGTGAAAAAGGACACTCATAATGCTAAAAGCCATACTTCACAATGAAGATACAATACTTCTGGATATCCATACAAGGTGACACCCATACAACAGCAGTCACCCATACAAGGATGAAGGTATTCAACTACAAAGAGAATTAAATATACGTAAACATCAAATGCGAAGAAAAATAGAAAACACTAACAGAGACTTTAATACACTACTCTCAATATAAGATCGTGGCAAAAATGAGACACAGAAAAAGTAAACAACATAATCAATGAAGTAAATTTTATGGATATACATATAGAACTTTACACCTTGTTAATATAGAATATACCTTCTTCTCAAGCACACAAACGGAGCATTCACAAAAATTTAATCATATATTAGGCCTCAAAGAAAACATCATTAAGCTCTACAAGTAGAAATATCATAAACCACCCTCTGAGTATAATAAAACTAGAAATAAGAAAACCAAAAACAAAGAAGCCCCTCTGTCTGGAAACATTTTTTAAAAACCTTCTATTAAACAACTCTTAGGTAAAAGAAAAAATATAAACTGAAATTACCTAATTTCTAAAATAATAAAACACTACATATTAGAATATATGTTACACATTTAAAGCACAGACCAGAATAAAATTCAGAACCTTAAACATATTTATCAATTAAAAATAAAGTATGAAAGGGGCGCCTGGGTGGCGCAGTCGGTTAAGCGTCCGACTTCAACCAGGTCACGATCTCGCGGTCCGTGAGTTCGAGCCCCGCGTCAGGCTCTGGGCTGATGGCTCAGAGCCTGGAGCCTGTTTCCGATTCTGTGTCTCCCTCTCTCTCTGCCCCTCCCCCGTTCATGCTCTGTCTCTCTCTGTCCCAAAAATAAATAAACGTTGAAAAAAAAAAAAATAAAGTATGAAAATAAATATATTAAATTACCAACTGCAAAAGAAAGCAAAGTAGAAAAAAGCAAAGTAAATGAAAGAAAACTAAAAGAAGCGAAGATAAAAGTGAAAATTGATAAGAAGACATCAGAAAAACAGTAGCTCTAATTAATAAATCAAAATCCTGGTTCTTTAAAAATTTAACAAGATAGACAAACCACTAACTAACCTAATTGTAAAACATGGGAGGGAGGACAAAAAGAAATGAAGAAGGGGAGATAAGCACGAAAGCAAAAGACATTTTTTAGAAGTACAGAAATTATTTGCACACCTCTATGGAAATACATTGACAAGCCTACAAAAAATGGATAATTTCCTAAGAAAATATAATTTACCAAAATTGACTTGAGTAGAAGTAGAAAGCTTAATCCACTCTCCATGGAAGAAGAAAAGTTATTATGACACTTCACCACAAAAAAGCACCACATTCAAATAATTTCACAGGGAAATTCTACAAACCTTTTGAAGAACACAGGGTCCCAAACTAGATAAATTGTTTTAGGACTTAAACAATTAGAAAATGTTCTGGATGCTTCTCATGAAATCAAGTATAATATTGTTACCTCAATCTGATATTATATATTTAAAAAATTATAGACAATATTATTTAAGAATATTAATGCAAGAATACTAAATAAAATATTAACAAACAACATCCAACACCACAACAATGAAAAGAATACACCATGGCCAAGTGGAATTTATTTCAGTAATGCAAGAATAGTTCAATATTAGGAAATCCATAATCTAATGCACCATATTAATAGATCTAAAGCAGGAAACTTATATGATTATCTCTATAGATCTTGAAAAAGTCAACACTCATTCCTGATTTAAAAAAAAAACAAAACAAAACCTCAAAATAAGAACTGATAGACCTTTCCTTAGCATTGTTAAAAAACAAAAAACAAAAACAACAAAAACTTCACTTCTAAAACCAGCACCTTACTTAAGAGGAAACAAAAGAGTCACTTTCACAGATCAGGGACAACACACAGATGCCCACTATTTCCACTATTTTTTTTTCACTATTTCCACTATTATTTAATACTGTCCTATAGCTACTGCAATATACAAAAGAAACCAACTAGAGATATAACACTTAGAAAATATATAAAACTATGTCTATTTGCAGATGACATGATGGAATACCTGGAAAACTCTAGAAAAACAATGCTAAAACTAACTCAACCAAGATTCAATAAGTTAGCAGAATATCAAGATAACACACTGAAATCAACAGCCTTCGTAAACACAAACAACTACTCAGAAGGTATAATGGAAGAGAAAAATCCCATTTAAGAGAATAACAACAACAACAACAAAACATTAACTACTTAGGGATAAACCACAAAAAATGAGCAAAATCTATATAAGAAAAATATTAAAACACTGCAAAAACAAAAATGTAGACATTAACAAATGGAAAAATATACTTTGTCCTGGATAGTAAAACCCAACATAATAAAGATGTCAGTTCTGCCTAGTTTATTTGTTTTATTTATTAAATTTGTTTATTCTTTATTTTTGAGGCGGGGGAAGGAGGGGGGAAGGGGGAGGGAGGGGCAGAGGGAGAGGGAGACGCAGAATCAGAAGCAGGCTCCAGGCTCTGAGCTGTCAGCCCAGAGCCTGACCGGGGCTTGAACCCACAAAACACAAGATCGTAACCTGAGACCAAGTCGGATGCTCAACCGACTGAGCTACCCAGGTGCCCCTGCCTAGTTAATTTATTAAAAGAACAAAAATACCAATAACCTTTTCTTATGAAGCTGGACAAATTGATATTAAAGTTCACATGGATAAACAAACATGTAAAAATCATTAAGAAAACTCTGAATTAAAAAACAGCTACGAGGCAAGTTTATTCAAACACCACAAACTCTAATTAAAATAGTGTGGTATTAGAGCATAACTAGAGAGACAAGGCCAATGGACTAGAATAGTAAATCCAGAAATAGACCCAATATTATAATATGTCAATAACATATGTCAATATATATATAATATTATTATATTATATCTCAATAAAGCTGAAAATCAAAAGAAGTATACTTGGAAGAAAGGGAAGCACTGTAGAGATTTATGCCACATATACATACCTGTCTACATTCGTATTTGACAGAGAGTTGATAGAGTTATCCAATTCATTCTCACTTTCTCCAGACTGGCTGTTAACGGTTCCTTCTTCTTCATCATCTACTTCATTAAGAGCCTTTCTCAACGTAACAATAAAAATAAAAATACAAGTTGGTTATATATACACTCATCCTTTCTTTCTTTTTATCGTAACAATTGAGAGTTCCCTCCTTCTAAGGCTAACATCTCCACAAGTGCTCTAGAACCTAAACCCTCTCACCTCCATTCTACTCCATGACCTTCTATCTCCTGCCTCTCCAACCTCTCTCTCTGTACTGGCTTCAGCTCATCCATATTTAAATGTGAACAAGTCTCTCTCATTGTATCTTCTCCCTTTCACCACTAAACCTCTTGTAAGAGTCACCCCCCACTTCCCATTTACCATCTGTGCCCTACAACTTTGCTTCTGCCCTACCATTCCACTCAAACTGGTCTCTACAAGGTCAACATCCTCTTCTGATTTGTTCCTAAATCAAACAGATATTTTTTTTAGTTTTTGCCTTCCCTTACTTCTTTGATTCATTAGACATTAATTACCACTCCTTTCTTCCCTTCAAGATCTTCTTGATACACTCTTCCTTTTAATTGGCATGATACCAGATTTCCCTGTTGTTTTTTGTTTTTCTATTCCCAATCTCCTTTATTCATTCTTCTTTCTACTATTTCTTAATATCTAATGGGACTCAAGGTCCTCCCTTTGGACCTTTTCTCCTCTCGTCTGATTCCCTTTCTGAATGATTGTAGTTCCAAAGCTGCAATCACAAGTAAAATGCTGTGAATTCTCAAATTTCTACCTTTACCCAGATTTCACTGGAGTCCTAGGCAATTATATCCAACTGCCTAAAAGATATCCCTAGTAGACATCCTATATACATATAATAAACATGTCCCAAATTAGTCATCTTCCTAAGCCTCTCCTATTATTCTTCCAGAAGCCTTGTTCCTGCCATATTACCTAAGACCATGAACAGCATCACTATCTACTGATATGCTCAAGCCAGCAAACTGGGAGGTATCCTTCTTTCTCATATATCACATCCAATCAGCTCCCAAATCCTGTCAATTCTATCCCTTTTTAAAATCTCTCAAATTTATCCCTTTTCCCCTCTACCTCCTTCTCTACTGCCACTGCTTAGGTTAGGCTCCCACTACTTCTCACTAAAATTCTATCCTAGGGTACCTGGGTAGCATCCAAGTTCAGCTCAGGTTATGATCTCACGGTTCCTGAGTTCAAGCCCCACATCAGGCTCTCTGCTGCCAGTGTGGAGCCTGCTTCGGGTCTTCTGTCTCCCTCTCTCTGCCCCTCTCCTGCTCACACTCTCTCAAAAATAAATATACATACATACATACATACATAAATAAAATTCTATCCTGAGTCTTCTAATCAGATCTCTCACCAGTCTCCTCCCTCCCAAACCCACCTTTCACTCTACAGTCGATTTCATAATGACTCTACTCTTCCTATAATCCTTTGGTGGCTCTACTCTTACTTTCTGGTTCCTTAGCCCTTCACTACCTAGTTCCTCCCTGTCTCTCTAATCTCAGCTCTTGCCAATTCCCCATCCCCATAAAAGAGACCATGATATCTGAAAACTAACATTTTTAGTAAATGCTGAAACATAATGGTTTTTGGCTAGAGATACGGCTAATGGGTGTTGGCTATTTAAAACGTGTAATTTTACTTAACTGCCTTTGTAAATAGAAAACAATACTTAACATGTTTTTTTATGATTTTGGACCTTATAATTCCCTAGGATCAACCCTCTAATTGATGATTCTCCTTTTCTTCATAGGACATATACATAACCTAGGAAATTGCATTAAACAGGTATTGAGTCTTAATCAGTTCTAAGAAGTTGTTTTTAGTATTAAATTCTTCAAGTGCTTTTAAAAAATGTGTCCCATCTCAAAATTCTAAACATTTTGATTCATGAGTTAATCATTAATGAATTAATCATTAATTAATTAATGGTTTCAATTAGCTTAGGATATGGTTAATTAACATTTTACTACTAAAATAAATTTTCCCATCTAACTAGACAATAAATCCCAAGTTTCCTGGATAGCTACTTTTTAAACACACTATTAGAAGGGACTAACATTTAATGAAGAGCTAGTATCTGGAATTATGCTAGGCATTTTACATAACTTATCTCAGCTGATCCTCACAACAACCATAGTAAGTATATTCTATTTCCATTTAACAAAAAAAACAAAAACACTCTGAGCCAATTCAGACACCTTAAGAAATCAACTCCAGATCAAAGAGCTAGTAAGTAATAGAATACAAACATAGATCCACCTGATTCCAAAATGCAAGTGAAAAGACTCCCCACTCCTTCCATACTGGCAGATGGAGCCCAGCTTGAAGGCCATCTCTGATGCCAACAAGCTCTGTGATCTTGGACAAGGCACTTAATTTTTCTGAACCTCAGGTTTTTCTTCTGCTAAACGGAGATAATAATAGCTTACCTTGTAGGTAAGTACTCAATAAAAGGTAGCTATCATTATCCAGTCCTGTCTTGTTTGGTACAAACATTACTCACAGAGAGTGCAATATGCTTCAGTAAGAACAATTCTAACAACCATAACTAGATATCTGTTGATATTTAAGCTTTTGAAATGTTTACCACAATACCTACATAAGCTTAATTTCCACATAAGTATGACGGCTATGAGAATAGCACATTACCTGAGGCTCTATGACAGATTCACTAAGAATGGCCTGGGTGACAGGGTCTTGATTTACCATGATGGGACCCTGAGAGGAATCAGGAGCCACTGTTACATTCGGAAACCCTGCAGAAGGAAAATAAGTAATGATGATTTTATTTCATTTAGTTAAATTGACTTTACAAACAATACACATTGCCCTAAGTTTGTTATCACATGAAAATCTTAAAAATAATAATAGCAGCTCACATTCATATAACACTTACTATATGCCAGGCACTGTTCCAAGTACTTTTACATATATTAAGTCATTTTACCTTCACAAAATCTGATGAGATTGTTACTAGTATTATCTTACAGACCAGTAAACTGAAACTCAGAGACATGAAGCAAATGGCCCCGAGTCACACTAATAAATGGCTAAGCCAAGATTGAAACTTTACACTAAAAACTAATGATCTATTTTTAGGGATTAAACAATAGATTACATACACATTAAAGTGAATAATGCTATGTATCTGAACAGAGGCAAAGTCCCTTTTAGAGAGAGATTGAAGTAGATTTAGACTTCAAATTAAGTTTTACTCAAGTTACATAAATACAAATACTTTATATGGTAACTTAATATTAATAAACTGGAAATTAAGTCATATTTTAAATTATAAACTCTTGTATATTGCCCTATAAAATATCCTAGTAAATAATAACAATTTACCTTTGCTTAGCTCAGTAATTTGTAATAGTTAATATTCTTAGTGAAAAAAAACAAATTATAATGAGTCTATGCCTAACAACTCTTATATGCTATCCACTCTAGAATACTTGTGATATAAATAATGTGGTGCCCAAGGGGCACCTGGGTGGCCCAGTCAGTTAAGCAGATGACTCTTGGTTTCAGCTCAGGTCATGATCCCACGTCCTCGTGGGTTCAAGCCCTGTGTCAGGCTCTGCACTGATGACGTACAGCCTGCTTGGATTCTCTCCCTCCCTCTTTCTCTGCCCCTCTCCCACTTGCATTGTCTCTGTCTCTCTCAAAAATAAATAAACTTTAATAAATAAATAAATAAATAAATAAATAAATAAATAAATAAAGTGGTGCCCGAGAAATGATTTAAAATTCTTCCAAGTAGCCAGCTATGGGCTATGGTTAATAAGAAAAAGAAGTTTTTGTTTGAATTGAATACATTACCTGTGCGCCTACGAGGAAAATCAACAAATAGATCTTTTGCTTCAGCCATCAAATGATCAGATTTTTCCAAAACATCCTGCATCTGGTATTGATCAGAAAGAATCTAGATACGTGTTAATGATAAATATATTACTCAGAAAAATATATATACATATACTTATGAAATCACAAAGGAAAAGTCCATACAAAGGTAGAGGGCATAAAAATAACCAAAGGCCACTACCTTTCTAAAATCCTTCAGTGACAATATCCTTAAGTACCAGTAGATGGGGCTATTACAATAATTAGTAGATTTCATGTGCTTGGCCACAATCCAAGTAAGAAATACATTATTTAACTGTGAACCAGCACACATACAAATGTAAATGTATAACAGAATAAAAGTTTTACTTAACCTTACTCTTTGAGAACCGCTCTGAAATTTTCCTTTTAGCTCCTATTTCATTTTTTTAAATAATGGCTACAACACACTAACTCAATTTTACAATCCACTAAAAAGTTGTGATCCACAGTTTGAAAAAACACTGATTAAAGACATAAATCTCTGAGCCATAAATCCAGAGGTGTTTCAACCTTTAAAGTGTATTTCATAACCTACTATTGGATCATGATCAACAACTTAGAGAATATGAGCTAAGATATGAGGTTTAGGGCATCAAACAAAGTGATGTTTCTGTATTTATAAACAAGATGGATTTTTATCATGGGGGGATGAGAACCAAAACAATACCATTACAGTAGTGCCTCTGATTAGGCACTTTCAACTTAGGAACTTTCATAATTACAAGCAAGGACATGCAGGCAAGTCAACTCTAGCCACCACCGCCAGATGGCATTCTTAAACTGAAAGGAGTCACAAAATTGGAAACGACCCACAGTTTCCAACAATGATTCAAAACAATAAAGCATCTGGCAACAAATGCTCTTACCAGAATCTCTCTAGCCCATGGAAACAGGTATATAATATAACCTTAGTTACTGTTTTAGGACACTGACAAAAATAACAAGAATAAAATTCTATTTCCCTTCTTCTCCTGCTGTAGCCAACCATGTTGGCTAGCTCACTAGATGAGAATAAAGTCCTGAATTTGTTCCTTCCACAAAGAGTAAGCTTTGGAATGCTATAAGGCAAAGAGCACATTTGGAGCCAGAAGACTGGGATCCTAGGCCCAGTCAAGGGATACTAAGCAAAATCCAACCTCTCTAAACTTAGTTTGCTAACATGGAAATGAAAATACCACCACCTTCCCCAAACCCAAAGGGGTATTATCAGGATGTAGACACACTGAAAACCTGTATCATTCTAGAGATATTTGACAATGTTGTTACAACTTAAATTGTTTTATCCCATGAACCAAATTTCAGTCCCTGGTTAGCGATCTTGCAAGTACATACAATACATGCAATTAGAGCTTAGGAAAGAAAGTAAATGGAACATTATAATCTATCATTTAAACTAGAAAAACTACACACAGAATATTTCCTAATAGCAGTTTGATATTACTATTTAAAAAAAAAAAATCATTGACCTTCCATCAAAATAAAGAGATATAACTGACAGAAGCAGATTAGAGAGGAATAACTTTATCATATCAAGACCTGATATTAATTATAATGAAGTCTTCAGTAAAGCCGCTGCCCTGTTGTACTCTGCCAGTCTGCCCAGCCTTCTAGGGGCAGATGGTTTGAGAGACCAGAGATCAGTGTATTGGCTTTCTTTTGCTCTTTCTAGATTTACTTATCACTTCTTTCGGTTAAAACTCATCCTCTTGATAGGTAAGCCAATCTCTGCAAGCCCATCTGTATACATTACTTTCCCACAGATGGGTTCACAGAACACAAGGCCAAAGTTATGAATGGTGGTACACAGCCTGGATTTGCAAAGGACTGTCCAAGATTCCTTCAAAAACATTATAAAAAACTTCCCATCCTAGCACTTTTGTTCTCTGATAATAAAAACCAGATTGAAATAGGAAATTGCAGAGAGACTTGGGAAGTTATTATACTTTTAGAATTTATAAAATCTTCATCAAAGTCCCCCTCTCTCTGAATCTGGACCCTCAGTTGCCTGATTCCCATAACATGAATGCATCCTACAGCAAATGCCAAAGAGCTTTTCTCTGAATTTTTGTTAATCCAGGAGTCCAGCCCTGGGGGCTGGACGGGTAGCGGTAGCTCTTAATACATAATGATAACTGCCTACATGAATATTCCCAACAAGCCTTCTTCATTTGATCCCTTCACATCCCTGAACAGAGACATTACAAATTGAACACTGAAATAACAGCTATACATATCCTTTGACTCAGCAATTCCATTTTTAAGAATTTGTCCTATAAATAAAGTTTTACATGTACTTAAAAACATTCAAGGATATTCAATGTATTATTTGTAGAACCAAGACAGGTAGTAATCTGTGGGTGACAGACCTGCCACTTATCCACCAATCTCCTTTCTTTCCATTTTCCTTTCAACAGCAGAACCCCCAAGTTTTAGCCAAGTACATAGCTAGATTTCCTAACCATCATTCCAGGTGAGAATGGTCATGTGATGAATTTCTGGATAATGGGAGACAAGCCAGAATTTCTGGGCAGTATGTGAAAGGAGTAGCATGCATTCTCTTCCCCTTTTCATGCTGGCTGGAATACAGCTGAAGGAAGCTGGAACAGCCATTCTCTACTCAAGAGGTGGAAGTCCTGGAAGAAAGGGCCCCAGCATCCCAACCAACTACCATTTTCTTCTCAATTATTTTATAGACAGAAATAGATTTCTATTTTGCTTAAACCACTATATCTTGGGGTCATTCTTCTTCCAGAAGCCTAAGCTTTACTCCAGTACACTTCCTAAGTGCCCACAAATAAAGCAGTAAATAAATAAACTGTGGTACATCTATATACTATCTGGCCAAAAAAAAAAAGAAAAGAAAAGGTAGATTTCTAAATACCAACATGGATAACCTCCAAAATATATTGTTAAATGGAAGTACCTGAATCCTACTAACAGCAGAGGTTCTCAATCCTGCAACGTACTAAAATTACACAAAAACTGTCTAAAAAATACCCACATCACAGGTCCACTATATCAGAATATCCTTGTAGAGCTACATCTTGGTCCAAATGTGGTGATTATTTAATGGAAGTTCTCAACCCTGATCTACTGTGCAGTGAGTGTTGAGAACCACGACACCAGAGCCTGAGGAGCGGCCCTGGAGTGGAGGCAGAGAGACTTCACACACCCTCTTTCATCACTCTTCCTCTGATCCCTACTTCTACCACACCCATTCCTTGTATAAGCAATTCAGAACCTGAGCAGGAGCCACAAGAGATGGGACACAAAAGCCCAGAGCCACCTCAAAGGGGCTGCCTTGTTTCCTGGTCACTGAGAATTACCCTATAACGTTGAAATATGCATGACGGTCCAAGATCACCAAAACATACTTATCTATAAAGAACCATATTCCCTCCATCCACTGTTCTTTTTATAAGTTCACGTAAACATTTATTTGGGAGCTAGAATTCTTCCTGCTGATATATAAGATCAAGACTTTTACATTTCACTAAGAAGCCTAATGGATTCCTCAAAAGACAGAGTGATTTAAAGCTGCAGTGAAAGGTCACCCAGACATCCAAGTGCCATAAGCTTCACTAATGAACAAGAAGCAACACGACAAAGTATATTTCTTTTACAATGATTACAGTGATATCATCCCAAATAAAAGATTTTTTACTGTGGTTTCCTCTTATTTGCCATATTGTTTATTCCTATACATCTGATTACTTATCCAAACACCCTACATCTGTCAAAAGATTAAGCCAAAGACAAATGGCTAACACATTTTTTTTTTGCAAGTAATCAATCTAACATCACTTGTGTGATCAATCTAACATCACTTGTGTGATGTTAGTAATCAATCTAACATCACTTGTGTGAACTGAGAAAAGTAATTATATATATGACACTAATTATGTGCCAAGGACTGTCCTAATCCCTTTATTACTACATATCACGAAAATCTCTTAACAATACAGTCAGACAAGTCACACAAACAGTAACTTGCAGAGCAGGAATTAGACTAATTCCTAACTAGACTAATCGTCACTCTGCTGCTTTTTTCAAAGTCCATGTGTAGATCACTGTATAAGGACACAATCATCTGCCAGACCTTCTCCAATGTGAAACAAATTTAGGGGGAAAGAGAGAACCTCATTTATCACTTTCTTCTCTAATATTATGCAGCTCAGCATTACCTCCCTCATGATAGATAATCTCCTTCTCTCAAGATGAGAAATTTCTGGTTTCTGCTTCTTCCATTTTCTCTTCAAAGCTTTTTCTTGCAGTTCCCAGTGTACTAATGCTCTGTTCTTTGATTTGTGTATTTCATGACGACGTATCTGTACAGAAGGAAAAAAATATAAAAGAATGTTTCAGGAACAAAGATGTTACCTATTCAGATGGTGGGAACACCTAATCTAACTCATCTTTTAAAAATATTTTTCTGGTCCAACACATATATATTTATTCATATTCACAACCAAAATTTTCAGTCTTCTACATTTTAAAAAGTGATTAAAAAAAGAAGTCTCTAGAACTAGTAGACCTAGCAAAAAGACAAAATGAAAAAAAATATCAATTTTTACCTCTTTTGTACAAGACTATTCAATAAACTGCTATTTTTCAAACTGCAAGTGAAGACTCATTTAATGGGTGGCAAAATCAATTCATGGGTCAAATCAACATTTTTGAAATAAAATAGAATATAGAATAGAAAATATTAAGAATACATCACATTTAATAAAGCTAAAAACTGTGTTTTATTAAACTTTTCAGTTATGCATGTGTGTATATGTACAATTACATACACACACACACACACACACACACACACACACACAGTGGCTAACCACAATTAAAAGATACAAAGCCCACTGAGTCACCTTTGGCAAAGTCACACCCATTTCATAATACTCACATCACTACCAAAAACTAACAATGCACTATTTTTTAGAGCCCTGCAAAGGCTGCATGTGGAAGAGGGTCGCTGGAAATGCAGAACTCCAAGAAAGTAGAATTGCTGAAGCAGAAGCAGAGATTTGAACCACAACTTAAGAGTTAGAGGAGGGGCTCCTGGGTGGCGCAGTCGGTTGGCTTCCGACTTCAGCCAGGTCACGATCTCGCGGTCCGTGAGTTCGAGCCCCGCGTCGGGCTCTGGGCTGATGGCTCAGAGCCTGGAGCCTGTTTCCGATTTTGTGTCTCCCTCTCTCTCTGCCCCTCCCCCGTTCATGCTCTGTCTCTCTCTGTCCCAAAAATAAATAAACGTTGAAAAAAAAAAATTGAAAAAAAAAAAAGTTAGAGGAGAGTTCACAGAGCTGGCTAAGGAATAGGAGCAGATACTGGCTTCACAAGCACTCTAGTATTCAGAACTATGAAGAGAACAAGATCTATAGGGCATCTGATAAAACGTACCGCAACAACCAAATACCGTGTAAAGATTCTGAAGACCAAAAACAAATGAAAATGACATTTTTGAGACAACTGGGGAAATACGAATATGGACTGGGAATTAGGCAATACCAAAAAATTATTGTTACTTTTATTAGGTATGATAACAGCATTGTGGTTATATAAGAAAATATCTGCATTTTTTTAAATGCAAACTGAATATGTTGGCACAAAATGACAACACTGAGATTTGCTTTAAAATGCTACAGTAAAAAAAAAAAGGGTATGAAAAATGAAGCAAATATGGCAAAATTTTAATAACTATTATATCTGGGTGAACACTGTATGGGTGATCTTTATACTTTTGTCTCCATTTTCACATAAATTTGAAATTTTTCATAATAAAAAAATTAAAGTCAGTAGGGGATCATTACTATCGTCAACAAATATTTAATGAGTATCTACTAGGATTAAGATTCCCATGGCACAAATACAGACACATAGACCAATGGAATAGAATAGAAACCCCAGAACTAGACCCACAAACGTATGGTCAACTCATCTTTGACAAAGCAGGAAAGAACATCCAATGGAAAAAAGACAGTCTCTTTAACAAATGGTGCTGGGAGAACTGGACAGCAACATGCAGAAGGTTGAAACTAGACCACTTTCTCACACCATTCACAAAAA